AGTTGCATTAGCAATGTGTTCGACTAAATTTAAGGCACTTACTTTCGGATTTTTGTTAACTTCTTTTAAAACCAAGCTGACATCCCTACGTATGAGTATCCTTGGGCGGCCACTGCGAGGTTTATTTTCAGGAGAACCAGTATTTTTATAATTTCTTATTATCGTCTGAACTGTTGATCGAGTCAAATTTACTAATTTTGATATTTTTACCATAAGGTGTTTTTTCATTTCTATGCTTAATAACCAGATTTCGCATATCACTTGAAATTCTTTTCGTGGACCCATTGTGTCAATTAAATACCACTCTCAAAGCACAACTAAGTGCATTATATAAATGTATGACTCATGCCACAAGCATGAAATATGAAAAACGGTACTTTCCCGTTTAACATTTATATTTCTGTCGACTATATCTAAAAATCAATGAAGTGTATGTAGACTTTTGTCAATGATTTTTTTAGGTTTTTTTCGAATAACTTTGTTAATTTATATTGATGAATGGATTTTCTTTTGTTTATTATTATTAAAAAACAGTTCTAAACAAAACTGTATCATTACTTTTTTCTATTATGTCCCTGGATTTACGAGCTAGCAAAAATGGGGGGTGTATGTAGAGTTTTGTCGCTGACTGTATATGTTAAATATACAGTAAATCGAACAAAACATTGACCTCTAATATTAACTCACAATATCAGTAGCCTTTTATTTTTAAATCGTCCCCACATGAAAGACCATACACAATTCAAATAAAAAATGAAAGATGAAATTTCTTTTAAAAACCAAATAGTAAGAAATAGTGTTTGTGTATCTTATTATATCTGAACCAGATACAATTGATATTTTTAAAACGCAATACAATGATAACCACATTAAGTAACTGAATGTGCTTGCATATAAAAACAAGCAACATTTTTAAGGCTACCTGAAACTGTGGTTTCCAGAATAGGATTGATATCTTCGTGCAGCAACATTTATAGAATTCCAAAGTGTGAACAAGATAAATTTTTGTAGCTTCATGCGTGAAACCCGTTTGAGATATAAGTGTAATATTATATTCAGTTACAAAGACTATGTGTAAAGTTTTTCAATATCTTTTTCGAATATGCATTGCTTTGACCACACTTATTTCTGTATATCAGAATATACTTCAGGAATCATCTCCTAAAGTTTAAACAATACAATATGAAACATCCAACATATAAGGAAATAATTTCATATTCTAAAGGTTATGTTAAATATATAGTCATAAGATGAATGGTCACGGAAATTTAATGCACTTTATAGTCATGACCAAAAAGTATGTTCAAAATCACTGAAAAATACACATATTTACTTGTAATAGGCCCAAATTCTGGTAATTATTTTAGGCAACACTGTTTTGACTAACACAATAAAGTACAGAAAGCCCCTTCTTCATTATGATCAAATTTTACTAGAAACTTCTCTCATTCTAAGTTCTTTTAATTGCAAAGGCCATGTTATGTAGAGTATCATTGAATTGTAATGAGCAAAATTTTTGTTCTGCTTAGTTCAAATTTGGTCATAAGAACCGAGGTTACCTGAGTCTCGTCACCTAGGCAAAGTAGTGTTATTCTCTAATTAATGTCAACATTTGTGTCTTTTAGAAGCAAATTATTACACTTCACATAACTTGCATTTTCGCCAAAGCCCAAAAGAAACAGTTTTGGCAAGTCCATGGCACTCTACATAACATGATCCTGTTGTGACCATGACATTCTGTATTACATAGCTCTCATATATTAATATGATGAAATATATAATGAATATATATGAACAATATAATGAAAAAAATTTATTTTTTTTAAATTTTACTGAAAAATGTATGAAAAAGAATTATTTTAATTTTTTTTAATTATTTTGATATACATAAACAACCATAATGGCACAATTGTACCAGCGAAATACTGTTATGTTTTTTAGTCTAAAATCAGACTAATTACTTTTCAGAGATGAAATTAAATATAACCAATCAATACCTGCAGATTCTGCGAAATGTAGAGTTTAATAACTGCGTCTTATCTACTCGTAGGTATTCTGTGATTGCTAAGTATTATTGCCATCACAATCACATCAGACTTTCATGAAGTCTATTAATATTTGGAGTCTTAAATCGAAGGACATTATTAGGATATCAGTAACGTTAATTTGGACAAGTACTCTTATAAGACTTTCTCCATGTATAGCGTAATATCTTATGCGCTGTAGTATACCATTGGTGTATAGTATCTTATGATAATAATAACATTAACTTTGCTGTTAATATATTTTATGAAATTAACAATTAACAGTGTATAAATGTTAATAAATATGAAATTTATATTACATTTAAATTAAAATAAATAAATATTAAATTAAAATTTTGAATACGGTCATAAAATAAAATCAAATATGTATTAACTTTATCAATTCAATTTCACAATTCAAATTATTTTACCTTTGTCAATATGCATTCATCTCTTTTTCCAGCTTTTATCAAATTTTTGGCTAATTTAATTTTTCTAATTATTTCATTTTACTTTTTCTAATTAAAAATAAATGTTTTTCATTAATCCTTTGAGCACATGTAACATTTTTAATTAAAAACTGACCCAGCGTATTTACATTTAAAACTTGGCAAATGAAACTAAAATGGAAATTAGGTTAAATAAACGCAGTAAATAAGACATGTTACCCATAAAACACAAGTGTGACTCATTTAAATACAGAAAAAACATAATGATGTCCTTATCAGCTAAACTTTACTGCTCCCTTTAAATTGGATTAAATATTTTCTTTACATAAAAGTACAGTTTAATTGGATACTTAAGTAGAATTTAAGTAGCAATTACCATAATCGATAAGTAATTACTAGTTGATATGTTGCTACAATTTTTAAGGATATCAGAAAACCATACTAATATAAAATCAATATGTAAAACAATGAAAACATACTTGCTTAATATATCTGATTTATATCAGTTGCTATTACGTTTAATTTTTGTACCAAATAATAAGCAATAATTATATTTAATAATTGCCATAACATAAAAACTAATTACTGCATTAAAACTGACAGTTTATATGATATTCAAATTATCATTATAACCGCGACACATAATATATTTTTATACTGTGCCAAGTTATTTTTAAGCACCAAAAGTTGTTTTATTGGAGCATTCATATCAAAGAAATGCACCATGTATTGATCTCATACAGAATGTATTATGTAGTTGACAGGAAATTTTTTTTAGTGTAGCCGAAGCATTGTTCAAAACAATTTAAGATAGACTACGGTATTTGATAGAACTAACATATAACCTTTTCAGCGAAATGCAACTGGAATCAAAAGTACTTTATATAAATATCTCTACTGAAAGCATAGCTAGACCATACAAGATCCTCTTAACTAACTTTACTATGAAATGCATCCCTCCACAATGCCTGGTGAAAACTAAATTTTAATATAAGGTGCATTCGGCAGCTTCGAAGTGTGGCAAAAAACAACAAATTGCTTGCTAAAGTCGCTTAGTGAAATATTGGTTGGCATCACTGTTGCAATCTGTCAAATATTATGCTTTTGAAAAGAGCAAAACTACGTTTTGTATAAAAATAAACAATTAATATAATATTGAAAATTAAAATTAATAATGATTAATAAACTTAAAGCAATGTTAAGAATTCAGGAAATTTTGAAATGTCCTTTTAAAACACAATAAATAATTGTTTAGAATATTTATGACTAAATAAGAATTAGCTTGTTAGTAACTAATAAATCCAAAAATTTTAAACACTTTTCACTCATACTTTTTTCAGGTGTTCCTAAAACTTTTTGTATAGTTTTAATATATTTACTTTCCAGAGTTCTGCATAATTTTAAAATATTTTATTTCCACAAATTTCCAATTTGTGATCTCAAATTTTGTTTGAATTTTTGTTTACAAACTTCGACAGATGTCTGGAATATTCATATAAATTTCCAATGAAGATTTACAATAGATCGCTTATCGCTTTAATAACATTTTTTTCTGCAGTCGCTGAAATATTTTGCCACTTTATAATTAATCGTTTAATAGAGAAAATAGAGTTGTTGTTTTGCTTACTTATTAGCGACTTTAAGCAAGCAACTTATTATTTTTGCCACACTTAGAAGGTGCCGAATACACCTGTCATTATTAAGATACATTCCAGATTCCTAAATATATATTTAGACAAATATATAATATATATAAAATAATGCCTCTACAAACAGAATAGTATTGAAATTTAACAATTAAAAATAAAAATATAATTAATTAATTAATTCAATTTTTCTACAGCTGGTTTATGATTTTGTTCTAATATAAACACAGCAAGTAAAATTGTTAATAAGGACTTTCATAGCAAAAGTAACAAAACTCCAGAAATATATGCGAACAAAAAAAGTCAAGTACGGCTTTGGATCAGTTGGTTAAGGTGCGCTGATTCTGAGCTTCACATTTGGCAGGACCCGAGTTCGATTCCTGGTACTTGCAGTCTTAAAAATTAATTATTTACGAATAATTAAATACAAGAATTATTTCCAAGACCACTGATGACGGGTATTTGGCAATAGTCGATACAGCTGTATAGTCAGCCAAAAATTCAATTAATTAAAATAATATAAAAAATAAAATTTTTGTTGTTGTAGTTCACTACTGTTCGAAGAAACCTCTTTATAGATTTATATATAAATATCTATATAATTAAAGTTGTGAGTGAGTACATTAATTTTTTATCAACAATAAATCAAATTTTAAAATAAATATCATAAAACAGGTAAGTAACTCAAAACACATAAACATGGCATATATTGTATATATGAAGAAACTCCTCATTAAAAAGGTAAGGATGTTAAAAATAAATTTTACACATACACTGAATCCTATGCATTAATAGTATATATAAATTTATATTATAGATTTTAGTATTTACTTTGTAATAATAATTTCATTAATTCTTTTAAATCTGTGAAATTTTAATAGTTGGATGAGATTATGCTTTTGCGTTGAAAAAGGAGGTAAAATACCCGTCAAAACAATAGCAAAAACATTTGCATCAGGAAAAACAGAAAAACTGGTCTACCAATGCATAAAAGATGTTGGATTGCCTGAAGAAAAAAGTGCCACCATGACAAAGGATCAATTTACGTTTGATAAATTTTATGCGTTATATCATAAAGTATGTCCTCGTAATGATATCGAAGAACTTTTTACATCCATGTTAGTACCAAAACTTCATTAATATAAATATATTGAACTATATGGTACATAACATCTTTTAATTATAGCACAAAAGGCAAATCTGATATCATATCTATGGCTCAATTTATACAATTCATGAATGAGAAGCAACGTGATCCAAGATTAAACGAAATCCTTTTTCCACTATATGAAGAAAAACGTTGTACGGAAATTATAAATGATTACGAGTTGGATGAGGAGAAAAGAAAAAGTGGTAGGTAAAAAATAATATTAATTACATTTAAGCAATGCTCCTTTTAAAAGTATTTTTAACTTAATTGTTATTAGTGATCGCTATAGCTTGTCTGAAAGTGGATGATATATTATCTAAGAATATATACATACTATCACACAGTCAAGCTACTTTACAGTCCTTAAGTATAGTCCAATTAATAACTTGTACGATTTTTGATTGATCCACATCTCTAAACGAAATGTGAAATATCGAAATGCCGACGCAGCTTAACACTTTTCTAATCTGGGTTCCGGTCATAGGAATATTTTTGGCAATTGCGACGCAGACGAACTAGCCAGAATTCTAAACTGTTAGTTAAATATAAGAACCTAACGATATAACCTAACGAACTTAATCTAGTTATTACTAAGTTCCCCATTTGTTTTATCGCAGATGATGGTACCATGTTTTTCGTTTTCCCTTTATTAATGTGCATTATCATATTCTGTATTGGTAACTTGATCTGTACGAAGAGTTTTTGTACAACTGATTCTGGCATAGCAAAAAGCAATAACAAACTCTTATCGATAGTTTTACGCTGTGCTTAATATCTAGCATCGTCCATTGTCTAGGTATTAGATAGACAAATTCCCTTTTTTAGTATTGCCGCTTCCATTCAAGTATCATGGAATCCTTTGTTATATCGTTTTGATGTTTTCTCAGGATTTAATCCATATAATTTCAATTATTTAAATTAATCTAAATTTATTCTTAATAAATATTATAAATTTTTTTTACTTTTAAACAATTACAATAACATTATTTTTCATTACAGGTCAAATGTCTTTGGATGGACTTAAACGGTATTTAATGTCAGATGAAAATGCACCAGTATTTCTGGATTGCCTAGAAATTTATATGGAAATGGATCACCCATTAGCGCATTATTATATCAATAGTTCACATAATACGTATTTATCAGGTCGCCAAATTGGTGGAAAAAGTTCGGTGGAAATGTACAGACAGACTTTATTGGCAGGTTGTCGGTAAGTTTTTCTCATAATCATCAAAAATTTTAATGAACTATAAGTAAAAATATAATGTTACAGTTGTGTAGAATTAGATTGTTGGAATGGCAAAGGTGAAGATGAAGAACCTATTGTTACTCATGGTCACGCATATTGTACTGAAATCTTATATAAAGTATGTAATAATATATATATCATTGTAAAAATTATATATAATAATAACTTTTTATATTTATAGGATTGCATACAAGCTATAGCGGACTGTGCCTTTGTGGCCTCTGAGTACCCAGTAATTTTATCATTTGAAAATCACTGCAATCGTGCGCAGCAATATAAATTAGCTAAATACTGTGATGATTTCTTTGGTGAATTATTACTTAAAGAACCGTTGCCAGATCATCCGGTATGTAGATATTCAAACATGTTTTATTTAGGAAAGTTTTAAATTATTTTTTTTTTTAAATACAGCTTGAACCTGGCTTACCTCTCCCACCGCCTTCTAAACTTAAGCGTAAAATTCTTATCAAAAATAAGCGTATGAAACCGGAGGTTGAAAAAGTAGAACTAGAACTTTGGCTGAAAGGTGAACTTAAAACTGATGATGAACCTGAAGAAGATGCTAGTGCTGGTAAGCCACCTGAAGCAGCACCACCACCAGAAGCAGCAGCACCAGCTGCGGGTGAACCTGGAGCAGATGGTGCAGCACCAGAAGCTGAAGCAGCTGCAGCTTATAGTGGTTCAACGACAAATGTACATCCCTGGTTGTCGTCGATGATTAATTATGCGCAACCTATCAAATTTCAAGGATTTGATAAAGCCATAGGTGCGATTATAAAATATATTTTTATTAATATTTAATTTATTTACTTTCATTTTTAGAGAAAAATATTGCTCATAATATGTCGTCATTTGCGGAATCCGCTGGCATGAATTATTTAAAACAGAGCTCCATCGACTTTGTCAATTATAATAAACGTCAAATGTCACGCATTTATCCAAAAGGTACACGCGCTGATTCTTCCAACTATATGCCACAAGTATTTTGGAATGCTGGTTGTCAAATGGTGTCACTTAATTTCCAAACCTCCGATCTGCCAATGCAACTGAATCAGGGTAAATTCGAATATAATGGCGGTTGTGGTTATTTGTTGAAGCCAGATTTTATGCGTCGTTCCGACAAGGATTTCGATCCATTCGCCGATGCTCCCGTAGATGGTGTCATTGCAGCGCAATGTTCCGTTAAAGTGATTGCCGGTCAATTCTTGTCCGATAAAAAAGTCGGTACATATGTAGAAGTTGATATGTATGGTTTACCTTCGGACACTGTTAAAAAGGAGTTCCGTACACGTTTGGTGGCTAATAACGGATTAAATCCAGTCTACAATGAAGATCCATTTGTATTTCGTAAAGTTGTTTTACCCGATTTGGCTGTGCTACGTTTCGGTGTATATGAAGAAAGTGGCAAAATGATTGGACAACGTATTTTACCATTAGATGGTCTACAGGCTGGCTATCGGCACGTCTCACTACGTACTGAAGCTAATTTCCCAATGTCATTGCCTATGCTTTTTGTTAACATCGAATTAAAAATTTATGTACCTGATGGCTTTGAAGATTTCATGGCTATGTTGTCGGACCCGAGAGGTTTTGCCGGCGCTGCACAGAAGCAAAACGAACAAATGAAGGCCTTAGGCATTGAAGAGCAAAGTGGTGGAGCAGCACGTGATGCAGGCAAACCAAAAGAAGAAGAAAAGAAAGAACCACCATTAGTATTTGAGCCAGTAACATTAGAATCGCTACGCGGCGAAAAGGGCTTCCAGAAAGTAGCAAAGAAACAAAATAAAGAGCTTGATACGCTTAAGAAGAAGCATAGCAAAGAACGCATGGCTATGCAAAAGACACAGAATGCAGCAATTGATAAACTCATCAAAGGCAAGAGGTAAGTTATTATTTAAAACTATATGTAATAAATAAATTTATATTAATATTATAAAAAACATAAAAAAATTTTAGTAAGGATGAAATACGTAATGACTCGGCTATTAAAAACGCCATAACAGAGCAAACACAACAATGGACTGAAATGATTGCCAAACATAAAAAGGAAGAGTGGGATATGTTGCGTCAACATGTGCAGGACTCGCAGGATGCAATGAAAGCGCTTATGTTAACGGTGCAGGCGCAACAAATAAAGCAATTGGAAGATCGTCATGCCAAGTATGAAAGTGGAATGCATATATTTTCGTATAAAAGGAATTGATTGTATTTTTTGATTCAAATTTCAGAGACATTAAAGACTTGAATGCCAAACAAGCCAAAACTTCAGCCGACACTGCTAAGGAAGTGCAAAACGATAAAACCCTGAAGACGAAAAATGAGAAGGATCGTCGCTTACGTGAGAAACGTCAGAATAATATTAAACGTTTCATGGAAGAAAAGAAGGTAAAGTGCTATTCAAGTGAAAGATTAGATAAGTAGAAATTTTTTAATATAAATTTTTTTACTTATAATCTGTATATAGCAAATTGGTGTTAAACAAGGACGCGCCATGGAGAAACTCAAATTGGCACATTCGAAGCAAGTCGATGAATTTAGTACTGACGTGCAAAAGGTACTAAATGAAACACTGCAGCAAAACGACACTATATCCAGTATTGAGACTGTACTTTAGAACAAATAGATCATTAGAAACAGTTACTATCATTTTAGAGTCACACAGTTAAAAAGTAAATAGTAGCTTGCTAATGTAAATGTATGTGTGTGTGTATGTGGGTGTATGGGAGCGTACTATGTGTGGGAAACTTTATGTATAATAACATTAAATGTTTTATATATAAATAATCTGTGTCGATGATTATGAGTCCTGATTGTAATGTGTGACTACCTTTAAGTTTTTGTTCCTTATTTGTGTAATTTAATTGTATTTATTGTTTGTTTTATTTTATTTTGTAATAAATGCTTGAATTATTTATTTGCTAAATTAAATTGATTTGTTGTTGGTATATTGTAGTACAATATTAATTATATAATATTTTTTTGCAAGAAACTACGTTTAAAGCGAATTAATATATTGCATTTATATGAAATATAACGTTGATTTATTGAAAAAGTTTTAGTGTCAAAAATTAGTATACAGAGTGTTTTCTAAGTAAATAGTATAAATGCATGTAGTGATTCCTGGATTCATAAACTGAAATAAACTTGTTTGGAACAATCATTTTATCTAGTAGGTTTCTGTTGTAACCAAAAGATTCTATAATGTAGAAAACATGAACGAAAATCAAGACGAATACAGATGTTTGAAAAGGATGTGAAGAGGGATAAGGGAAAAGTATAGTTAGTGAGATGGAATCTTCTTAGTGGGTTCTTTCGCTGCTATATTTATTAAAAACATATAGGCATTAAAGATATGTGAATATCACAAATAGAAACTTGGTTAAATTAATGTTATTTAATTACTATAATCAAATTGCAACGGGTTTATTTCACAAGTTCTTAGTAAATCATGAGAATAGGCAATTATAATATAATTTATATGTATATTCTTTTGTTCCATTTTCTAAAAATTTCATCATAAACACTATTTAAACTGTAGTTTGTTAGCTTAAGAGTAAAGAGCCAAATTGAAAAAAAAAGTATTTTTTGAAACCGACTAATTAGTCAATTGTTATATATATAAAAAATGTATTTTTTATAAAAATGCTTATTTTCACCAATATTTTGACTATATTCTACAGACATCTTAACGTAATTTTAAAAAACTGTTTATTTTGACCATATATTTTGACTATATTCTATAGTCATCTTCAGGCTATCCTGAATTACTTGTTATTATTAAATTATTATTAAAAATTATAATCAGTTATTATGAAAAATGTTAGTAATTATACATAAGTATAAATATAGTTATAAAAACATCTACAAACTAAACAGAGTATATAAAGCAAATTTTATATATTGTTTAAATTAATAATAATAAATTCACGCAAATAACTTTCAACAGGTTGTGTGAGTACTACTACATTTCAGAATTATCATGTACATATCTTAGGTATAGGTATAGGTCTAAGGCAAAAAACCTTCAGTCCGAAATACTTATTCTTCAGAAAATGACTTCTAAATAGTAAACTCATAAATCGTATATCGTTTTTAAGATCATATATCCAAACATTCTTCATAAATTTTATATTAATAATAGTATATATGTAGTTTTTCTTGTTCTGAAAAACTGTCAAGTATTTTTTCATTTTTCAAACAGCAATACTTCATTCGTATTATCTGAGGAACATGTTTCCTACAATAATTTTCTATTTATCGAGTACCGGTTTTTGACAATCCAATTCTGAAGGAAATTACTTAGTAATTTTTTTCAATAAAAACACAAATTCACTAGGAAGTGTATGTTAATCCATAGACAATACTACATACATATATACAAACATATATAATATACGGTATGTAATGTAAAGTACATAGGCAGTGTAAACATTAGCACCGGCATTTTTATAAATCACAGAGTATTAAACTTGATTACTTTTGTATAAAACCTATTAATAGTGTACCCTAGTAAAATAATTATATGTGCAGTACTTGAAATCTATTTTAAACTCCAACAAATTTTGTTAGGGTGAATTTAGTTTATTGTTTTATTTTAAATCTTCATAGAAAATATTTATATGTGCAATTCACATTTTTTGCTAAAAACAATTAATTATTTTATGTGATTTAATTTTTTTTGTTTTTCAATAAGATAATGTGTTTCCATTATTTATTTTTATTAAGTGTATCCTATGTGGCATTGAATCCACCAATTTTTTTAATAGTAGGAGGTCAATTTTGGCCTATTGGACCAGTATGTCCTTTTTCAGCTCTTTAAGAGTGTCGTATTGCTTCGAATAAGCATAAATATTGGCACTAAGAATACCCCAAAGATCCTCTATTGGATTTATGTCAGAACTCATGACCGGCCAATCTAACAATGGGATGCTTCTCTCTTCAAAGAATTTCTTCGTAGCACAAGAAACATGTATTGGAGCATTATCCTGTTGGAAAATCCAATTATCGCCATGAATATTGTCAGCGAAATTTATCAGTTCGCTATCCAACAGATTTATGTATATTTCCGCATTCATTTCTGATGATACGAAGCATATATTAGACTTTCCCTATGAGCTAAAGGCAGCCCACACCATTAGTAAACCACCACCATGGTTGCGTTTGTACCTCTCCAATATTTATGTTAACCATCTGAACCGTCTAGATTAAACTTTTTTATCACTGAAAACAACTGTTTCGACCTCCTCGTCCGAAAACTTATATTTGTCATAAAAAGCTAAACTAGCATTTTTATATCTTTGTGTAAGGCACGGTTTAGGAACTTTCGACTCATATTTTAGCTTTAAGTCGTTTTTCATAATTTGTTGCACACGTTGTCTAGTGATGCACAAATCTAAATCATTTCTTATTTGTCTGCAACTCATCCTCTCATTGGTAGCAAGAAGCTGAATATGCCGTTTTGTTCGGTTGTTAATAGTTGGTTAGCGGCCGCATCTCTTATTAACACAATAGTTTTCGAGATTTTTTTAAAAGTTTATTATAGTATTGAGGTGTCTATAACCAGATATTTCGCTACTTTTCATCCCAGCAAGACTCATTCCAATAATCTTTCCGCACTCTTCACTCGAAAGTTCCGTCCTACGCGGCATTTTTTATCTAAACTTAATTAAAATAATAAATATTTATTAATAAATAATAAGTATTTTACTTACCAATTCTTCTTTACTCTTCAATACTTTTAAAAAAAAAACTTTATAACACACTTCACAACTTTATTTCCATTTCCTGTTGACACTTCGAGAAGCAAAACAATTTTGCAAATATAATTATTTTCTATTAAATTTGCTAACTATTCCTCTTAGTTATGATAACGGTACCACAAATAGTATACAAAAATAACTCCATATATGGTCAGAGAAGTTAAACTCAACTACAGAATCAACTGTATATAAAAAAAAATAGTACCATTATTTTAAGAAGAGAATAACGACAAACAAATTTTGCACATATAATTATTTTACTTGACTACATATAACAACCAACAATATAGTTATTGGGTTAGCCAGAATTAATTGCAATAATAAAGTATCTACTATAATAATAGTCAATCGACGACTACAAAATCATTTCCGCTTTACAAGAATTAAAGTTGGAATCCATCTAATCTACAATATAATATACAAATCGAAAATTGTGTGTAAAATATCTAATGTTATTATAATAGATATAAATATATTGAATGCACTTCATTATATGTTATCATGTTTATGATTTAAAAATGTAGAGTAGTATTGTAGTATTGATATAACATATTGAATTTTAATTGTAACTAACAATTATTTTTATATTAAACTAACACTTTCTTATTTTAAAAATGCAGTATATCCCATATTACAGCTCTATAGATGTGAGAATTATTTTCTTGGTCACAAAATAAAAAAAAAAATATGATAGTCAATAAAAAATTTATCCAAAAAGTCGTTTAAACATAAAATTCTCAACATTCAAAAACGTCGCGTCATACAATAATTTGAATATACTATCCATCCTGTATTTCATTTCATACAGAAACCGCTATCCCGTCCTCTCTATCCAATAAACTATTAAATTTTTAACCAAGAAATCATATCCCACAAATATATCGCTTGGATATGGGAGAGCCTGTATGTGTTTAACTTTTTGTTGTGTTTAATATTAATCTGTAGCAGCGAGTAGATATATTGGCTAACATTATTAAACAAAATCTATTATTATTCTTATAAAAATGGATTTTACTAATTTTATTTTCTATTAAAAATCAAAATCGCATAAAGTACACTTACAGAATTTTGAAAAAAAAAAAAATTAACGTTTCGTACTAATTTGAATGGTATTGTCTTTTTTATATATATTATAATATAACATTATATTTTAATATATATAATAGTTATGGCACATTTTTTTTATGACATGATCACTTAAATAATCATGGATAA